ATCCCCTAGCTCACATCTTTACCGCTTCGTTGCACCAAGGAGTTTTCCCCGAAATATGGAGACATTCCTTTATGTTCCCTGTCCATAAGAAGGGCGACAAACGTGACGTGACAAATTATCGTGGCATAACAAGTCTATCTGCAGCTTCAAAATTATTCGAGATCATTGTGAACGATGCTATCTTCTTTCATGTCAAGAGCTACATTTCAGCAACGCAACACGGGTTTATGCCAGGACGCTCAGTTACATCAAATTTGCTGGAGTTCACCTCAACATGTATAAATCACTTGGAAAATAGGGCTCAAGTTGATACCGTTTATACCGATCTGAAAGCGGCATTCGATTGCATCGATCATGGTATTCTTCTTCGGAAAATGTCTCGCCTGGGAATTTCGGATGGTTTGGTTGATTGGCTGAAATCATATCTTTCCAACAGAACACTTCGTGTCAAGCTGGGTTCGTGCACTTCATCACTATTTGCTGCAACCTCCGGTGTTTCCCAGGGCAGCAATTTAGGACCATTGCTGTTCACAATCTTCTTCAACGATGTGACGCTCCTCTTGCCGAGTGGTTGTGTGCTCATATACGCCGATGATCTCAAACTATACATTGTTGTCAAGAACGTCGAGGATTGCCGTCAGCTCCAAGCAATGTTAGACCAATTTGTTGATTGGTGCCGCTTAAACAAGCTTTCCGTCAGTATATCAAAATGTGTGGTCATGACATTTAATCGCACAAGAACGCCAATCGTATTCGATTACTCAATTGATGGATTTGTACTAGAAAGAGTAGAACAAGTAAGCGATCTAGGTGTAATACTGGACCCTAAACTTACGTTTGACTTACACCGTTCAATGGTAATCACTAAAGCTAATCGTCAGCTTGGTTTTATATCAAGAATCTCAAGAGATTTTTCGGATCTGTACTGTTTAAAAGCACTGTACTGTTCACTCGTTCGTCCGATTATCGAGACTGCATCTGTTGTTTGGACTCCCTACCAACTTTCCTGGAACATCAGAATAGAACGTATCCAAAAAACATTCATTCGTCGAGCATTAAGACAACTTCCTTGGAGAGATCCACTAAACTTACCTCCGTATGCTGAGAGATGTCGCTTGCTAAGCATGGACACGTTACAACGACGGCGACAAATTCAACAGGCAACATTCGTCGCGAAGTTATTAAGTGGTGAAATTGACACTACCCACTTACTCTCTTGCTTGAACTTTCGTGCGCCAAGCAGATTTCTACGCTCAACGTTCCTATTGCGTCAAGACTCACACCGCTCTTCTTTTGGACAACATGAACCTGTTACGAGTATGATTCGCACGTTTTCTACAGTTGAAGAGTTGTTCGAGTTTGGGGAACCTGCTGCTCAATTCCAGAGACGTATTATTAACTCCAGATACATTTAGTATTTGTTATGGCTTCTGGTTCATTAAGACTTATTGTCAGATGGATGTATTAAATAAAAATAATATAAAAATAAAATAAAATAAAATATAATTATATATAAAACCACGCTATAATTATTTTAATAGAATGGACTAGCCCCTTGATCCCCTTTCTCATTTTACAGCTGGTATAATTCATTTTACAGATCGATGTCTTCCTATACCACTTGAAATCACTGAAATGGGGTCGAATTTTGATTATCGAGTTCCGCATATGTTATGTGCTCCCATGAACGAGAAAGTAAGAAAATTTCTAATAATCACTCCTCGCTTAACCCCTTGATAATTATTGAATAATCTATATTTAGGAAATTTCTCTCTGTGACAAAGTTATTCAGATTACGAAGGCGTACTACTAGCGTTAGATAAATTATTCTACCACGTGGTGCTATTGGGCATGTAATCTTATACCTCGAGATTTTAATCATATGATTGGGAACTTAAAGTAAATGTTAAGACCAGAGCATTTCGAGTGGTGAAGAGATCTGCCACTACGCAGCACTAGTGTACAAGTTAAGTTCCTGTTTATGCTATATATAGATACCCTGACCATCTGGAATGTTGCTGTCTTTGGCAATATACTTCAGATTACCAAGCCGTGTACACGATGAACAGGTTAGTTAACAACTCACTACGCTCGTTTTCAACTTCTATTCAATTTTCATACTGCCGTACTCTAACGGAACTATCTACCTACCCTCTTCTAAGACTATTCTCTAGCTAAAGGGTGATACCGTCAAAATTTGGTCAAGGGAAAACGCGTGTAAATCGGTGAAATCGTTTATTTAAAAAATCAAATTAAATTTCTTTTTCAAGTTCAATTAGTATAAAATTCAGGAAAAATATTCAGTTAGGCTTCCGCTTTTCCAAATCCGAATTGCCGGGCCTTACGCTTGACCCCTGCCATCAGATTTTGTACAGCCACCTTGTCCACCTTCTTCGCCGCAGAAAGCCAGTTTGCCTTGAACTGCTGCTCCCCCTTAGCAGTTGTTTTGGTCTTCTTTAGGTTCCGCTTGACAATAGCCCAGTATTTCTCAATTGGGCGGAGCTCTGGCGTGTTGGGAGGGTTCTTGTCCTTGGGAACCACCTGCACGTTGTTGGCGGCGTACCACTCCATGGCCTTTTTACCGTAATGGCAAGATGCCAAATCCGGCCAAAACAGTACGGAACAACCGTGTTTCTTCAGGAAAGGCAGCAGACGTTTATTCAAACACTCTTTCACGTAAATTTCTTGGTTGACAGTCCCGGAAGCTATGAAAATGCTGCTTTTCAAGCCACAGGTACAGATGGCTTGCCAAACCAGATATTTCTTTGTGAACTTTGACAGTTTCATGTGCTTGAAAACATCTGCTACCTTTCCCCTTCCTTTTGCCGTATAAAACTCCTGTCCCGGAAGCTGCTTGTAGTCGGCTTTGACGTAGGTTTCGTCGTCCATTACCACGCAGTCAAACTTCGTCAGCATCGTCGTGTACAGCCTCCGGGATCGCGCTTTGGCCGTCGTATTTTGTTTATCATCGCGATTTGGAGTCACTACCTTCTTGTAAGTCGATAGTCCGGCTCGTTTTTTGGCTCGATGCACGGTTGTAGACGATACACCCAGCTTATTTGCGGCATCTCGGAGAGAGAGGTTAGGGTTTCGCTTGAAACTACCGGCAACTCTCTTTGTCGTCTCAGCGGCTTCCGGTTTTCAATTTCCCCCCGATTCAGACTTCCTGGCTGTCGACAAACGTTCCCCAAACACTTTAATTACATTTGTAACGGTTGATTTGGCAACTTTTAGCGATTTTGCCAACTTTGCGTGCGAGTAGCTCGGATTTTCGCGATGCGCGAGCAAAATTTTGATACGCTGCTCTTCTTGCTTGGACGGCATTTTGACAACCGAAGAGTGAATTCCAAAATCAAAATAGGAGCAACATTCTACACACACACACCTTCAAAATGAGGGGTGTTCAGGTTTTTTAAATGCAAAATTGAAAGAAATACATCAAGTTGATATTGACCAAATTTTGACCGTATCACCCTTTAATATGTTATCACATTAAAGCTTCATGTTAGATAGCATTTCCAACCAACTCTGAAAATCACTAGGGTGGTTTTTCGGTATTTTTGGTAGTGACAGTATTTGGTAGTGATAGAAGCTTATTCTAGACGCTTGTCCGTCGTTCCACTCCTCTGACTCTAAGACATGGGCAGGATAGTAAATCTGAGTAGCTACGCAATAAAAAAGCATTTTACCAAGATTTTAGGAAAATTTCATCTTTGCAAAAACCATGTTTTTAATGCAAAAAATATACCGATGCTCAAACGTGAGTGCATCACGAACTTTTGAGTCTGAGTACATCTGCACTACGTTCAACTCCAAGCTCCCACGTTCGGGCTTTATTACGTTCAATCTGACTCGCTTTTTACGACGGAGCAATTGATTTTACCACTTTTTTCTTAAATTGAAAAATACGCACTACAAAATTTAGAGAAGCCGATAACAGTGCAGCTGTAAGGCAATGGAAAGGGTACTGAATAGAAATTGGTTGTCGACAATAGTCACATTGACCTGGCAAGTTTGAAGCGTTGTTGAAACGGTTTACAATCGTTGTTGACAGTGCTATAGATTGAAATGGATCAAGCAGTCAACAGCAAACAAACAAACATCTTCATGGGTGAGTGTTACACTGCTACTCGTCCCTAGAGATGTGCGAACGCTGTTTATTGTGCAGTAGTGGCACCAATCCTTTCGGTGCACGGATTCATAGATACTTTTTTGTTTTAGTCCCAGGTTATCATGATTTTTGATTATTCAAAACGAAACGAATGAAGAAAATAGACCTACTGAAGTCATGATAACCTGGATTTGTCAAATAGAGAAAATATTGTTGAATACGTAAAATGCCCCATGCATACGAAAAACAACTATTAGACCTTTTGGACTAGTTTTCTACCCAAGTTATTAATTGGAGCAATTTATGGAGTGCTGGATTGGTTGCAAATTCAAACGTTATTTGAACACGTCGCATAATTCATCCTGATTAAATACGATATTGGATATTAAAAATAAATGACTTGCGGATTGTCTCACTATTTACAACGCAACAAATCCGGATGCATTGTATACAGGCCTTTACTCATTCATGAACTAACAATAATAATAACAAACGTCCGAAGATGATGAAGAAAGTGTTGTTCACATGTATGTTAAATAAGTATCACTCACGATATAACGCTAATCAACGAAATTGCAATCATCAACATCAAGAGGTAAAACTAATACGAAAATCAAGTAACACCAACAGAACAGCAACGTCAATATCATAACGAGATGAGAGTTAAAACACACATAAAAACAGATCCATTCTCCTAAAACCGTAAACCAGAAGTAGGTATGCCACGAGAGCATTCAATATCTCATCTACTAGAAAAGGAGTTTCACAACAGGGTTATATAGAAATGCTATTAGTATATCACATCCAAATGCACACGCTGAGGAGGGTGAAGTGTTCTACTATGGGATGGAGGGGTGGTAGTCCAAGGAGAAAGAGAGAGTTACGGTACCATTTATAGTTTGAGTTCAACATTCGTTCGCTTGCATTCAACATCGAGAGCCTCATCAACTTGCTGTGGGGTGCTGGTGTGCCAAGAACACTTTCCTCGCATAACACACCCAACTTGGCACTTAAGGAAAATTTCACAGCAAAGAACCCTGTGTCGGTGTGTTTACTCTATATTCAGCGCTAAACTTTTTGCTTTTTGTCTTGGACCAGGCCAACTTAGATCAAGGATGGGTTAGCACTTTATTTGAACTATATTTACACAGGCGAATTGTCTTTTGTGTTGACGTGTTTTTGTTTCGTTTTCTGTGTGACAAATGGGCGGGTGACGTGTGCGTATGTGTGTGAGTGTTTATGTCTCTGTGGAAGTGTGTCAACTTGTAAGTGTGTTTTCAGTGCTTTTCAAACAAACTTGTCTGCAAATAAACAAAGAGAAAGAGAGAAAATGGGGAGACACGTTTTAAAACAAGTTTTGCATCTGTCGGGTTAGACTTTGACACTGTTTAAAATGCTATTCTAATGTCAATCTTTAAACGGGAAATTTTTACCATTATGCTTTAGAACGCCTGCTAAGCTCTCTATGTACAGTAAAAGATCGTGCGTCTCCACCATCACGCGGGTTTTGAAAGGTTGTTGAAATTGCCTTTTTCACACCATCGAAGTAAGCATTCCGAGGAAATCGAAGAGGCGCTGATTGCGGGGGTACTTTTCTCATTTTCGATCATTCAGTGTAGAATGGGGCGTACGGCGAACAGCTATAAACTGCTAATAAAATATGTTCGCACCAGCTGGGACCAATAATAAGCGTTGAACCGGAGAAAAGTGCAGCTCAGTTGGTTCCTCGGTACCAGTTATTGTGAATGTAGCTGTGGCGGCAGAACCACGCGATGAAATATGTCTGCCAATAAAAGTATGCTAGCTTTACCCTTTACTGCCAAGTGCGCGCTCCTCAACCAGGGCCCACAGCTGCTTCCAGGATTGCTTGGATCAGTGCGTACGTATGTGCCGCAAACGAAGGCGGAGAACCGTTTACTGTTTCCATGGAATCAGCAGCAGCGCCAATTGGTGAGCAACACAGCAAGTATCATGATGAGTGATGATGCTCGGTAAAGTACTTGTTAACAAACTGTCGGCAAGTAATGGAACTTGTGGTCTCAGTTGAGATAAAGAGAAAAATGTAAAACCCCTTTTTATGAAGTCGTTTGTTTTTCAACGATGTCTAGGTGATCATAATAGAATCGTAAACTTTTCCACTGACCCAAAAGTCGTTAACATCCACTGAGACATAAGATTTAATCACAAACGTCGTCTTTATTGCATGATAACTTATAAGTTATGAGAAATAAATATCGAGTCATTTTCTCACAGTTCAACAAAGTTCAACTTTCTGCCTCGAGTGTAAACACACGATGATTCAGGTTTACCACAGCATCCCCACGCGACTTCGTGGCTGCCCTGTCCCAATTTGAACGAAAAGAAGAAAGGTTATTTATTTTCCATTATTGTTTCCGCTTCAATTGACTCAAATCGGATAAAATATGTCGCTCATTGCCTCGCAAGGCTGTCGGCTCCCCGGAGAGTGTATCCGTATGAGACGTTACTTCAACTCAACCGTTCCAAGTTGATGTACGTACGTACGTACGTACATACATCGTATGCATCGAGGGATGCCTTGGTTGCCATGAGAGATTGCAAAGTATCGTTGAAAATTGCCCCTCGCCACCCATCGTCGTTGTCGTCAGGACACTCACTTGTCCTTTCGACATTCAAGCAGCTCGAGCGAAAAGCAACAATGGCAAGCTTCATGGCAACTAGATCCCGCAGACGGAGGACGCTCGAGGAATAGTAAAAAAAAACCTCTCAGCTGTCCAACATCCAAAGCTAAATCCCACACATTCAACCCGTTATCCTTGTGGTTATGCTCCTCAGTGCCCCCCACCGTGCTCGGTGATGGAATACTAAACTGGTGTAAATCTAAATTGGAATTTGATATTTTATGTCAAACATAAATTTATTGACCCCTCCCTGCGGGATCTCCGATCCCAGAATGTGTCTCGCAGAGATCTTTCCGAAGGAGCACAGTGGCTCTTGTTGAACCTTGTTGGAGCCAAACGGAGCAGTAAATTGATCTTTGCTCAACATAATTTTCGCTGTGCAGGATTATGGTGTCCTGGTAACAAATCCAACGTGACCATTTGAGTGGGGAGCGAACAGCTGCTGAAAATTGTCACACGGAGAATGTTCCATCTAGGCACCTCTGGACAGAAGACACGATGAATCATTTTCAACTGGATTGCGCGCTGATTGTGAAGAGTAAGGACGAGACAAAAACACAAAATCATGATTGTCGTCGTAAATGGGTCCGTTGGTCAGTGAACCACTGTTTTTACAGATTTAATTTTTCTTAATTTATTGCCGTTGTCAGCGGGGGATTTTACTCTATTGTTGTTATCGTTGGAAGGATGGAAAATTTCCTCTTACCACGAAAAACGTGTTTTCTCGCATTGAAAATTTGAACCGCTCATTAAAATAAATGTAGCCTGTGTCAACTGTCAAAATTGTTGATTCAACTAAATTTAATAAACTCAAATTCATAAAAATAAAATTTGAGTTTGTAACGAACTGCCTCACCGTAACTCAACTCCCGAAAATTCAACAAAACTCAAGCCACAAATAGCAACATCAAAAAAGTCGCAATCAGCAAGCTCTTTTTCCAGGTAGATTCATCTACCGGAGCTAGTGAAAGAAGTAAATACAAATCTCTCTATCACTGGAAGCTTCACTTCAGGTAAACTGTAGTAAGAAAGTAGTAAAACAAATTGTAAACTTTATATCACCAAACATCATCATCATCATCATCAGAGGAGGCCTGCCTGAGCAACGACCACAACCACAAAACAGCAATCATTTTCCTCGCTTACTGCGATGGCTTGAACATCAGCACGACTACACCCGGGATGTTTTGCTTTTTTTTTTTTCGTTTTCAGCCCTCTTTGACTGGTGGAGAAACGCACGACTATCATTTTTTTTTCGCTCATTTTCAGGCGTGAATCGTTTTGTAACTCTACGATATTAAAGATATGATATAATAGAATGTAGCAAGCTCATGTATGGAAACGATGCAGAAGGGAGTAACGGTCTTTAAATGCTCGAGTTCTTTGCTATAGGTAAAGTGGAGATCAAGCCAAAAGAATGCAAATTTTGCTTTACTTTGTCAATCCTGTACGGAGAAAAACATTTGCATTTCGTGGAATTCATCAGCGTTGGCTTACCTTCATCCGGTGCGTCATTTTCATGGTGATCTTCCCATTCGGAGAACTGAAACGAAAATAAACAGGTTATAATATGAGCTGCTGGTAAAGTGAAGAGGCTCTTAAAGGGTGATACGGTCAAAATTTGGTCAATATCAACTTGACGTATTTCTTTCAATTTTGCATTTAAAAAACCTGAACACCCCTCATTTTGAAGGTGTGTGTGTGTAGAATGTTGCTCTTATTTTGATTTTGGAATTCACTATTCAGTTGTCAAAATGCCGTCCAAGCAAGAAGAGCAGCGTATCAAAATGTTGCTCGCGCATCGCGAAAATCCGAGCTACTCGCACGCAAAGTTGGCAAAATCGCTAAAAGTTGCCAAATCAACCGTTACAAATGTAATTAAAGTGTTTGGGGAACGTTTGTCGACAGCCAGGAAGTCTGGATCGGGGGGAAATCGAAAACCGGAAGCCGCTGAGACGACAAAGAGAGTTGCCGGTAGTTTCAAGCGAAACCCTAACCTCTCTCTCCGAGATGCCGCAAATAAGCTGGGTGTATCGTCTACAACCGTGCATCGAGCCAAAAAACGAGCCGGACTATCGACTTACAAGAAGGTAGTGACTCCAAATCGCGATGATAAACAAAATACGACGGCCAAAACGCGATCCCGGAGGCTGTACACGACGATGCTGACGAAGTTTGACTGCGTGGTAATGGACGACGAAACCTACGTCAAAGCCGACTACAAGCAGCTTCCGGGACAGGAGTTTTATACGGCAAAAGGAAGGGGAAAGGTAGCAGATGTTTTCAAGCACATGAAACTGTCAAAGTTCGCAAAGAAATATCTGGTTTGGCAAGCCATCTGTACCTGTGGCTTGAAAAGCAGCATTTTCATAGCTTCCGGGACTGTCAACCAAGAAATTTACGTGAAAGAGTGTTTGAATAAACGTCTGCTGCCTTTCCTGAAGAAACACGGTTGTTCCGTACTGTTTTGGCCGGATTTGGCATCTTGCCATTACGGTAAAAAGGCCATGGAGTGGTACGCCGCCAACAACGTGCAGGTGGTTCCCAAGGACAAGAACCCTCCCAACACGCCAGAGCTCCGCCCAATTGAGAAATACTGGGCTATTGTCAAGCGGAACCTAAAGAAGACCAAAAAAACTGCTAAGGGCGAGCAGCAGTTCAAGGCAAACTGGCTTTCTGCGGTGAAGAAGGTGGACAAGGTGGCTGTACAAAATCTGATGGCCGGGGTCAAGCGTAAGGCCCGGCAATTCGGATTTGGAAAAGCGGAAGCCTAACTGAATATTTTTCCTGAATTTTATACTAATTGAACTTGAAAAAGAAATTTAATTTGATTTTTTAAATAAACAATTTCACCGATTTACACGCGTTTTCCCTTGACCAAATTTTGACCGTATCACCCTTTAGCATAATCGAAGCCGAAGCGTAAAATCGGAAGGTGATTGGCGGGATTTTTGTGAAAGGAACAAACATTTCAATGAATAAATATGATTAGGATTATTGAGTCGCCCGAAATTGAAATCGTTTCCAAGGAAACGGAAATTGCTAAATTTGGCATTCTATTCCTAGAGTGCGCTGGAATTCAACAATGTTTTTGATCGTAAATAATGATAGATTTTTTCAGGGAACGTGCATAACCTAACTTTGTTGATAATGACTTTCATTTATACGGTCCCGTGTTCGGTCGAATGTTCCAACATGTTGTGTTTCGTAACAATGTTGCTTCACTTACAATGTTATTGCCCTCGGTATTGTGAAAGCACTGCTGCAGCCACGTTTTTACCTCGTCGTTCTGCCCTCGTCTATTATGTTGTTGATTACAAGCCACCAAAGAACGCTAGCTTCCTAGCATGAAACGGAAATTTGTTTTCCCATTCCTAGCAACGATCAGAATTACACGTTCGCTAGTGTGCAGTGCATGACGAAAACCCGGGAAGAAACTTAGTTCCTTCCGTTGAACGATTCATCGTAGCCACAGTGTCTGTTTGCCTCGTTCTCCCCTCACCCCATTCTACGAAAGACGCCAAAAAATGTATTTCTCCTCCTTGCTCGGTTCCAGTAGCAGCAGTAGTAGTAGTAGGCAATTGGCCCATTTTTCCTTCCTTTTCCTATTAAAGTGCTATCAAAGTTAGCGATTCCAGTCGCGATGAAATATGCAACTTTCGATTCTGTACTCCGTGCGCGGTTGCTCAATCTAGAAACCAACGAACCACCGGGTGCAAGGAAATTGCTGAACGAGGAAGTTATGTAAAATCGCATCATGCAACTCTGTTTCGGACTCGAAGCTGTTTACGGCAAATTGTGTCAAAAGTTGAACGAACTTTAACGCCACCGTAGAGCGCTCAGTAGGCGGTTAAAGTAGTTTGCCCGCAGTGTTGACGAAGGAGCGAAATGGAATGAAAATGCTCGTTGCAGTATTTATTGCAGCATGATGAAGGATTCGTGATTCGAGTTATCGGGTTCTGATTGATGGGGGAAATTTTAATGATAGCTGTTCTGATCTGAATTCGGTTATAATTTGGTGAGTAAAATACTTGAGTTTTGGTATTTCCATACATTTTCAGCAGAGCTGTGCAGTCGGTGAACAATATTTCGGCTCCGACTCCGTCTCCGAAGCAGATGGAAAATGTTTGATTTTTTTGGGATTTAAGAAAAAAGTACACTTCTGTAACTTTTTAACCTGAGGCCAAATAATTTTAAAATTTTCTTGGTAAATTCTAAATAGTAATGAATAAATATAATATATTTTAAGAATCAACGAAAAACTTACTTCCAGTTTCTAATCAAGAAAACAAAACAATTTCTTCGACACTTTGTACAGGTACCAAAAAACATCGGTACCATAGTGTGATATAAATAACTGTTTTTGTTGGGTTTGAAGAAGTTGAATTTTCATGTGTGGGGCTTAGATTTATTTTCGTCAAAATGTGCCAAATTTTAAAAGTGTTATTTCTAGCCAACTGCACAATATTTTATAATGTAATATTTGACCAACAAATTGAGTAGGCCCCGTGTGTTAATATCAGTGATGATAGCCGAACTTCTTTGCTTAACCACTGATTTTTAATTTCAAACTGATCAAAATATTGAAAGAGCATGGTGTTCTCCTAAAAACGATGTATAGCACCTCTGAAACCTTTAAAATAATTCACGTTTGCTGTTTATAATAAAGAATCTGCCCTGACAATTTCAAACCATTTAGTAAAATAGATAAAATGTTACAACTGTTTAAAACGAATGTTGAATGTCATAAGTTATTTTGAACAAAGGTATTAGATATTTTTCTTTTATATCAATTAAACTTAAAATATGTAAATTCAGATGTAAGAGTCTAAAATGGTCCTAAAAGACCAATACGTAAGATGAAGATAATACATTAATTGTCAATCCATTTCAAGGCTGAAGAGCGAATCACTCATCTAAAAACAAGTTTATCTTGGAAATATATCCTCATACATACCGTATGCGTGATAATGTTTGCACCGTCGTACAAATAAGATTCCCGTTTCACCTGTGCATTCAATGCCTTGGTTTTCTTTGCATGCACGCAACCTATAGCTCATACCGTAGTAGCAACAATCAATACGAAACTAACGATTTTAAATTGGCTCACCACTTTAGTAGCCTATTGGTCCCAAGCAAACGATTAACGTACCCTATTCTAGTTGAAATTCTATTACTACACTATGTTTGTTTTGATTCGCTATGAAAGTTTGACAGATAACATCAGGGGTGTGTGGATTCATGCAGAACATGCAGGGGTGAGTGAAATAGCTTGGGACTGCTTGGGACCGTTGTTCTGGTACTGAGTGAGCCAAAAATAATAATGATTTTCTTCGGGACCCAGTGGTCTTAGAGTTACCTCTATGGTAGTAGGCTGTGTATAAAAGAAAATGATTTACTTAGTTTGACAGTTGCACCATGACGAAGTAGCAGCGTATTCGTGATTTGTCTCACGCGCAAATGTCGCAAAAAGACACCGTGGGAGTGTCCCGGTGGACCGTCAAAAGGGTTTTAGACCGAGAAAAGAAAGGACAACTATCCGCGTAGGTGACCACGTCCGAGGTAAGCACGGGTTCCGAGGGTTATCGCTGCTATAAAAAGGAAGATTCGGGTGGATCCAGTGCGGAAAATGGCAAAGGAACACGGGATCAGTGACTTTACGGCACGGAAGATCGTAAAGGAAGATTGCGGGGTGAAGTCGAGGGCGCGGAAAAAAACTCACATGATTACCAACCGCATCCGGGAGCTACGAGTCGAACGATGCAAGAAAATCTTGAACTTCCTTAAGCAAATATTAGTTCTCTTTCCGTAAAAGACGTGTCCGACGAGCACAAGAACGTGTATCTGACCAAGCATCGTTATGGTATTTGGGTTGGTGGCTTCCAATGGCAAAAAAAATGGACCCGCTATTCATTCCAGAAGGCGAAAAGGTCAACATAGAGGTCTACATCGGGATTTTAAGTAAGTATGTTCTTCCGTGGATCAAAGAACAGTTCGGTTCGAAGCCAAATGCTGTATTTTAACAAGATAAAGCTCCGCAGCACACCTCGAACCGCACTCAGAAGTGGTTGCAGGAACATCTTCCGTCATCCAGCCCCGATCTTTATCCGCTGGATTACTTAATATGGCGCGACATGAAGGCCAAGACCTGTTCTAAACACCACCCGAGTACAGCAAGCCTCAGACAAACATTGACCCGTACCTGGAGAGAAATGGATCCAGACTTTATTACTAAAACCTTCCGTGCATTCCGGAAGCGTGTGGAGGCTGTAATTGCAGCAAGTGGAAACTCGATCGATGATTAACATAGTTTAAGACTCTGAGAAACATCCTACCTTTGAATAAATAAAAAAAAATCGAAAACGGAATTTTTGAGATTTTTTTAATTTTGACATTGCTTAATGGTGCAAAACATTATCACGCATACGGTACATTGAAGATCCCGTACACGTGAGTTTTTATAAACTCTTGGCTAGGAAAAATTTGAAAAATCTATGCTTTGTGACAAGTTTCAAAATTTTAGGTCCTCGAAATATATTTTGG